TAAGTAATTGGCAATGTTCTACCTAATGACAATGTTTTTTTTTCTGTTAAATAAAGTGGTCCGATTTTAAATTTTTTCATATCAGACGATACCTATCACCATAATAATATATGGTTATTTCCGACTTCAATAAAAAGATACAATATAATGGGACGAGCGTTGGCATGCATTATAGTACGATTAAATGTAAGTACAAGTGCCATATACGTATATGATATGTTAAGAGAGTCAAGTCCGTGAAATGTTACACTTAACAATGTGTTCATTGATTTTCGTACACTTTCTGAAGTGTATAAAACTGCTGTACAAGGAAGATCCATTGTTCAAATCGCGTTGTGCACTTTGCGAAAAACGTACGACCATTTTCTATAGAGTGAAATTTATTGAGAAAATCACTGTCTTATGTTTGAAAAAAATCACATTTTATGTAAATTGTAGTTCTTTTATAAGTTGTCGACTTCACCCGTTTTCGGAGAGTCAATTTCCCAATAATTTCCCTCTAAAAATAAAAAAAATATATTCACATTTTTCCAAATGATTCACGTCATTATTATAAAATATGACGTATACAACGAAGACACGGACTATTAATTTGATGTAATACGCATTACATAATAATGATATTCCGTGTACATTAAAATGAACCTTATTCGGAGACGAGGCCAGTGTTCAGCGATCCGCATCTGTATAATGAAATAACACCTATTTACCGGACTGCGTTTAAACAGCGACGTGCTGATATATTATATTATTACTACAGACTACTACAGCCGAGGTAATGAATATGTTTAATATAATTATTTAGATCGTTACGTTTTGTCACTGCTGCGTTTGTCAGTAGGTAGAATATCATAGTCTTTACGGCCGTCACCTCCACCACCACACCACCGCCATGTTCTCGACAGCGGACGTCCGGACTACAAATGCTCGGGGCTAGAGACAGGAAATGAAATATACTTATTCTTCCCGGGAATCCAATGTATATTATAAATTGTATTTGGCCTGTTACGTCAAAACTCGCGTGTTTGATCGATGGACAGTTTGTGTTTTTTTTTTTGCGTTTGGTTGTACCTATACTCGCTGAAGGGTTTGTTGGCGTTATAGAAATGAGTATATTTTATGCTTCATACAATGACAGAAAAAATATAAACATCCTGGATCCACAACAGAATATGTACACACGCGAAAAATCATATCAAAAAATCAAATCGAAAGGACTCCATACCATTCTCATCCAATAATATTCACCCGAAAAATGTAAATTAACCAGGTACCGAGTAGAACTGTAAATATTACAATACTATATAGGGCAGTGTAAAAAAAAAATCGATGATCGTATGTAATAGACTGTTAGTAGAAGTCTATACAATATTTCAATAAGGTATCAACAAGCATTTTTGGGAAGCAATAGATAACACAAAATTAAAAATGTCAGCCTTAGATTTTATTAAAATTTAAGTAGGTATATCTACAAGTTTTTTGAGCAACAAATATAACGTTGAAAAGCAACGATTGTTCAGCTTTCAGCCTTATATTATACCAAAGTTATATCGTTTACATATTTTTAACATGTTAAAATATTTTTATACTTAAAAATTTAATTATAATTATTATGATAATTTTTGTGAAAATACAGTTGTACGAAATACAAATTATAATTAATTATATTCTGTTTGGTGAAAAAAGCAATTAAAATTGGCATTTTTAAAAAATATTTCATACGTTATAATATTAGTTATTATGACCCAATTAATTATTTTAGCGATAGTGTTACAACTAGATTAAAAATGTCACGATTGGGTGCAACTGACCAATGAAATTTTTTTGAACCATTTTTTTTAGTCGGATAAATCTAATTATTATTTCGGATGCAAGGAGTAGAGGAAGTCTGCTGTATGCGATTGGTAAAAGTATACACATTTGAACAAGTATTTTCTGTGACCTGTACCTCTTTAATTTTCCAAGTAACTCGTTAAAATCGTTTTTAAAAATTTCAGTTAATATTAATTAATAAAGTTATAATATTTAACTACTTATGTTGTATTGCAATGCAAGGTCATAATCCACTGGACTATAAGTAGCAACAAATATGGAGTCAAGTTTCAAACGCAATTAAAATATGTAGGTTCACTCTAATATATAATATTATTTTCCATTGAAAGGTTATAGTTATATTTAATTTTTTTTAGGTATTTAGGTGTCGACGTAGTATAAATTTATACGACGGTACTATTATAGAATATTATAATAATATATAAAACCTAAAGACAGTGTTACTAAATTATTATTTTTTTTCTCATTAAAACGCTTAATAGGTAGTGATATAAGTTATAACTGTTATAGAAATAGCGCTTAGCGTTCGATGATTAAAAAATAATTATAGCTAATGCGTGCTGGTGTAAATGTGTTCTATCTAATACGATTTAAGATTAAAAGTTATATCTGCGAAACGGATCTTTCTTACTAGAACCAATGTTAGAACCAACCCCAATAATAATATATGTCAAACGTAAGAAAATCTTGTAGAATGCAATTAATAATCCAATAGAATGTAATTTATTATGTAATAACCATAATTTATTTATAACAAGTTTCATTGATTTAGTACGGTAATGATTATATTCAATATTTATTAATAACTGAAGTTATATTTTTAATCTGATATACACTTCCTGTTTCCACACACTGGCTAACAATACATTAATATTTGTCCATCATCTATTGTAGTGTAGGGACTTTGTAATAATTCTGAGTGATTAAATAAAAATGTTCACTTGTCTGTCTACCACAATGATTATACCGGACACGTTATATAATATTATATTGTATGCGGTACCTATGTGTACCCAAGGTAACACTGTAAATTTCTGCCTAGTGACATTATAGTGTTTTGGTAAACCCAATACAAAAAATATAAGTTGAAATTTTGATATCTCAAAATATATGATGGAGGGGGGAGGAATGTGACCCCTGGATTTTTCAAAAACAATTTTAAACATTTTAAATTGTATTATTGTTTGAATAAACATTTCATTGATATTTTAACTTTGGTATAGATTTGTACGTTTTAAATTGACAAAATATTATACTAATAGGTTCCAAAAATATTACAATCAATTGGAAAAATTATCAACCTATAATAACTCGTTCGGTTGGATGGTCAACGGCCGGCGCTAGATTTCTAATCATATTTTCTTATTTTTACAAATATATGATCAATGATCATGACGTGATAATATTGTCTACCGGACATAGCAGTTAAATTTTATTTTTACTTTTATTTGTCTTCGTACTGCCTACGACAAAACACCACCAGTATTAAAGTAGGTACCTATATATGCATTAAATATTTTATAACTAATATAATACAATTATTATTTTTATTTATTTAAATCGGTTTTATTTCCATAAATCAATAAGGTTTCAATTTAAATGTATACAAAATACGGACATCAGGTTTAATTAAAAATTCTATAGTTCTGTAAAGTTATCATGAATACAAAAAAATAATGACGTTATTAGTTTGACCTATGAAAAAATATATTGGAGAAAATTGTACACGTATGTAAGTGCTAATCTTGGGAGAGAGCTAATGCTGCAAGGAAAGACCCATTCATTGAACAGATAATTACAAGGTTTGCAATATAACGACCGCGAAGACTTAAGTTTTTATTTAATATAGCGAATCTCCAGAATACGATTCTGACGTATTTCGTGTGATTTGAAAGAAGAAAGTTTCGTTTTGGTGTTTGATTTTATTAAGCCCCCTTCTCTCCAGTTGAATTTCCGCCCACGACTTCAAGTTGTTTATTTATATACACACGTAAAACCTTATCATTACTAAACGATGTTGGCAGACCAAAATGTTTAACGTTGCGTATTGGAGCATGAACGTTGCAATGTACCTACATACGTGTGTTGTATAAACCGATCACAAATCGAGATTATAGATCGTTAATTCCACGTGGATACTTTTTTAGTCGGTTTACATGGAATATACCAGAGTATCTATCTATTATAATAAAATAGTGAGACTTTCCTTAACCAACGTTTGTGGAAATAGCGGTGACCTTGGCAATTATTTTGACGAACGATGAATAGGAAACAAATAACGTCATATGCATATTTTGTTTCTGAAGTTGATAAATGCGGTCAGACAGCAATTATATAAAAAAAATAGTAGGTACGGAATTTCAAGTTTTTCGGTTCTCTCAAAAATAAAAACAAATCACATGTAAAAAAAAAAGCTCACAATACCTACTATGCGATCGTATCAGAGGATAACATAAGTCAATATCTCTATTTTAAGAATATTACTCTAAGTGAGGATTTTTTTCATAATTTATTATAGTGTACCTAATAAATAATAATAGGGTACCTATATCTTTATATATTGCATAATATTATTCTAAAAGGTTTATTTTATACGATTAATATGTTACAAAAAAATATAATAATTTGTATTGTATTATGAGTATAAATTACAGTAGATCGTCTAACAATAATCACGCCGATTATGATGCTATAATAGCATTATAAATTGAAAAGGGCCGACGTCGAGGAATAGAAAAAAATGTTTTTTAGTCGTTGTACCTGAACTTAATCGAACAACCGTAGCACGTATATTATTGCTATTATAGAAGAAAAATTGGTTGCAAGTATAATAATTAATATTTGCGTCAGACGAGCTTATAAATTGGATTAGTGGGCGGACCGGATTTGATCATCGATGACTATCTATAATTCCGTTCATTTTGTCAATGTCGAGACTTACAGGCTACATGACGTGACAACACTACACGAACATAATTAATTATTATCAATAAGAACTTATAATAGTTTAGAAACTAATAGGGTATGTTTCATCGCGGTTGTTTTAAATACTTTTGATTTTGTGATGGGAAAATGACTGGTCTAGGAAAATGACTGGTCTACGACGAAATAATTGTTTTTGTAATATACCGACTACTTAAGAGGTACCGTTTTGTTTCCTCAACAAGTTAGATTATTTTAGTAATATTATAGACTCGCCTCATTTTTGGTAGTTCGCAGTACAGCCATTCGGAAGCGTCTTCCACGGTGACGCGTCTATGGTCGGCCGGCAGGTCAAGTTTGTTTCCGGCCACCACGATTGGCAGCACCTGGTAGTCCTCGCGCTGCTCGCGGACTTCCTCGAAGTTTCGCTTGACCGTCTCGAAAGACCGTTCGCAGTCGATCGAATAGACGAACAGGAACGCGTTCGCATTGGCTATGCTCAACCGCCGCATGGCCGGAAACTGAGGGTTGCCGCACGTGTCCAAGATGTCCACCTGTAACCGTACATATAAAATCATGAGTTAATGACATAATAATTTATCATCGTCAGAGACAATAACCGATTAGTTTTGGATTTCGCGAACTTTTCAGTATCATAAAATCTGGTTGTGTAAGTCTTAAAATAGTCGTTGAATAGTATGTAATATTGAGGGAGTATGAGGTGGTAGGAGAACCACCCCGGGTTGTATTTTTAAAATGTATACATAAATCTAAATAAATAAATACCTAAGTATGTTTATCAAATAAACGATAAATATTAAAGTAACCACGAAACCGGCAACAGACGAAAGAAACCACCTAAAATGTAATATTCAAATTAACATGTTTTATACCTATGTATTAATTTCTAAATATAAAATTAGTACTTTTAGACTGGGTTTTTAAAATAAAAAATTTTTCAGTACGTTGTTATTTTAATCAAAACTTTCCAATTTTTAAAATATTTTTTTTGGACGTTTTGATCCTTATCTATTTGTATGTATTTTTATGATGTTTTAAAAAGAGGGATGCGGTATAATGTAATCCCTCAGGCCTCAGAGCCATCAACATTCTAGAATTTTAGTTAATTAACGATGTTAAATGTGTTGTACCAAACAAGTGTATATTTAGTTAATTATTTTTAGTTACACCACATTGCATCATTAACCATCAATACAATATATAAGTACGTAGCAAAACTTATTTGAAACAAAAACCTAAACTAGATATCATAATTTATGACACTACTGCAGTCTGCAACATATTATTATTATTATGTATTTATTGTTTAGTAATTATAACTTATTTCAATCGATTATAATATTTCCAATGTGACTATAGTAGAATAATATACCCACTATAGTTGTATAGGTTCAGTTATCTATCAGAAACATATTCATTATTATGAATAGGTAGATATATTGAAATTATATTATTTTACAGGAATGTAAATAAAACTTGGAGCGTTGTCGTGGTTTTGGCTGATAACGGGGTGATAATTATTCGAAAAAATTACGTTTGATTTTTTTTTGACTAAATGCTTATACATTTACACAATATTACATGTTTGGATATATACTTATACAATACATACGCATCAACTAAAGTACATTTAAATCTAGTTATGTGTGTACAAGTTCGGCGCGTCAAAGCTCATGCGGATTACCAAATCGACAAACATTAGTGCTACGATCGGTGCACACGATCGTATATTTCGCATAATACAGAGCCATATTCCCATGTAGATGAATTAGTTATTGGGTATAATAATATATTAAATAGCAAGCTATCGGTAGCGTAGGTACATTAAAAACACGCTCCAGGGCATGTTTTATCGCTATAGAGTGTTTAAGGTTTCGTTTGTTACCTATTTAAATCGAACTTTAAGGTTGTTTAACATTGAAAACGCAATTTCGTTCAAAACTTATATGCATAATATATATATACATATGTGGGTACCGAAAATGAACACTGGAGTTGACCGTGTCTTTGGAGATGATAATCGCGTCTGCAGACGACCAATAAATACTATACACGAGTGAAGAAAAACCGAACTCAGACGTGACATGATTTTCAATACAACGAAACTGTTTTTGCTACGTGCATATCGTCTCCAGTCTTTATCTCCGCACACGCCTATACAGGTACGTGCCTCTACATATCTAAGTATGCGTTTTCAATTTTTTTTTTTTTTTGAAAAGTAAGTTAATTTCATACTCGTGGCTACTTATTCGCTATTCATGTTCACTCCCCTCTCCCCCTCACCCACCCACAATTGTATTCATTAATTATGCATTATTCAAATTCTGATTTTTGTCATTTATAAGAATACTTAAAAACCATATTTTAAAATACTTAGATTTTTTATGCCATTGAAGGAGTGTACCCTGTGTCGATACAAACTTCTTTTTTTCAAATAAATGCATAATTAAGGGATACAATGTTGAGAGCATACTTGAGAAATTAATCACTCTGTATATCTCTATACAACGAGAAACAACAGAGAACGAGACCTGAGGGGTTGAAATTCGTGTCTTCTGTAAGTCTTCTTTTACACGACCCATATACAAACTCTAAAGACGAATTTCAATTTTCTTTTGTAGGTTCGAATATACTATGATTCATCTTTTGATTCTCATTTTCATCCACCTACCTGAAAAAGGCAATGAAATATTCTTACCCAATTATAGCGAATCTCTTTTATGTTTGAACATAAATGATTGTTTTATTAAATTCCTCTCTTAATAATTGTAAATAATTATTTACAAATGACATTCATTATATATGTGCACTTTTTATTTTTAATTACTTAGCTAATTTTCAAAAAGTTACAATCTCAGATGCGTGCCAAGAAATATATATCTTACACATATTACAAGATCTCCGGTTTGAAATGTGCTTTATATGCTTTGAATTTAAAATCCAAAAACGTCCCTACTTATACATCAGAGATAGGTATTCACATATTATACCTGTTGTTATAAACATAACATTATCCAATATAGAAATGTATTCACAATAGTAATATTTAATTTAATAATATTAATATCGTAACTTAGTATGTAATTATAGAATATAATTCAAACGAAATTTATAATTGTTCATTTTTTTTATAAGGTCTGGCTTGAAAATTCTGTAGGACTTCAACCCCCTAAACTACCATAAACCTATAGCGGTTTGGCACGTAAATATTTAAATGTTCTTCCAGTGAAAAAATGAAGGACACGAGTTTAGGATTAAAATGTTATATTTCAATGGTTATTTATAATGGTTTGACGTGAAAAAAAAATATATAATATGTACAGACGTCACTGTATGGATGCTTTTAATATGTTTAACACGAACTGTACAACATCAACCTACTCGACATGGACTTTAATTTTTTTCATATATGTAATATAATACTATAAACATCAACTGTAGCACGTGCACAGAGTACAGAAACAAAAAAATAAAAATCCTCTGCAGGTATGCGAAAACATTTTCGGGTCGACGATTGAATATTATATATTTATAGAATAATTTTTGCAGAATTATTTAATCGAATGTTTTGCTTTTGCCTAGAATGCCGTTGTCATGGGTGTGCAAAAACCCAAAATACCTAATAAATATATTGTAAGTCCGCCAAAATTCTTGTGACACATTTGAGAACCATTTATAATAACATGTATTAGGTAAATTGATAATTGCATTGGTTGTTATGTAATAATGTGATATTGTACTGAAATTGCAGACAATAATATAGTACCCTCAATTTATATAGAGATATAGAATGGGAGAATATTGACGTCTGAATGTCTGATATTATATTTATACATTAACTGTATAGTGTAGTTTACGATCGTGAGATGATCTATAGTGTTACTATTGTTACCTAGACTATGGCGATTATTGCTATTAATTATTGAAATATTTGATATTAAACTATTGTTACGGCCATCCCCACGCATTGACCATAAACAGTTGGTTAGCAGGCATTGTAGCTGACAAAAATGTAAGAATTTATTAAACATTTAAAACATATTACATTTAAAATAATGGAACTAAAAATAAACGATTTTTAAGTAATTGCCTGGCCTTAAAATATATTAACGGTTGTTTTTGGTGCTACTAAAAAAATTGTCTTTTAAGGTAATATATTATATATTAGAATGTTTTTTTTTTCAAACACTATTGTGCTTTTGGATTTTGATTACATCGAACGCATAGCAATATTTTGACTGACAGTCATCGAGTTATTTATTGAACTATCAATGACTATCAAAGGCACCGAATTAACTTAGAATAATATTAAACGTATATTCAATATATATGTCTGTCGTCTAATTGAGAGTTTCTAATTTATATCGATAGAGTTTTCCAATAATAGTTAATTATAATATTGGGAACCGATGGGCGATGTACATATATATATATATTTCGATGGTTTAATCCAATAAGAGATTATCCAATTCACCTACAAATAACGAGGTAGAACGGTAACACAATATTGATCTAACTCAGTATTCTGTATACCGTTGAATTGTAGATTTGGATTTTTACATGTATTTTTATAAAGAACAAATAATGCAAAATAATTTGGCCTTAAGTGCCAGCTCGAATACGTAAGTTTTGAAAAAATAAATATAAACGGCGTATAAAATAAAAATAAACGAGGGTTAACTAATACAAATATCACAGTAAAAATGTTGAATAATATAGAATTTAAGTCATTAATACATTTTTTATTCTATTTGTGTATTCTCTATTTTATTACATCGACAAAAAATACTGTCAGTAAAGCTGATATAATAAAAGATGTATATCAATACCTAGTAATGTACATTATAAAAACATAAATAGGTAATAATGTACTCGTTGATTTGTTGTTATTTGAAAATTGGAAAATGTAACAACCACTCATTTAACCAAACGACAAAAAAAAAGTTTCATTTTAGATGCATTGATTTTACAATGATGTGTGTTTTATTATTTTATTATTTTTTGTGTCTATATACACGATAAGTAGTTGAAATAATGGTTCGATTTTCAACTTTAGTATCTATTGTTCGATATACCATATACATAGTATTTATATAAAAATACATATAAGTTTAATATTAAGGGGCCTGCACGCGACCTGTTTTTTTGCTCAAAAACATGCCTTACAGGAAAAACTCTCACGCCTCGTAGATTGGTCCGATTTCCGTAATTTTTTTTTTGTTAGATAGAGGAAGACTTCTTACAGGGCGCATTGGACTTGGATTTTCAACATTATTTTTCTAAGTCTTATGTTACAAGTTTGAATTTAATCAATTTTTACAACTTTTTAGTTTTTGTATTATTTTTTGTTTTTAGCGACGTAATCAAAAATCGAAGTCCAATGCGCCCTGTAAAAAATATTCCTCTATCTAACAAAAAAAAAATTACGGAAATCGGACCAATCTACGAGGTGTGAGAGTTTTTCCTGTAAACTGTGTTTTGACCGATATAATACACCCTATCAACCACCCCTAAATAGGTATTGGGTAGTAGA